CACTTACCGCTAAAGCCATCTATAGGAAAACGGCGAAAGCAAAGTTATACCTAATATGTAGGAGGAAGAGAGTTTAGAAATATAAATAAGAAAGTTAAAAGAAAGTCTAAGAAAACAATAGATGAATGTAAAGAAGCCATGATATGGAAATATTAGAAGAATCGGGGTCGTGTTTGGATGATGCGATAGAAAGAAGTCAGAGGATTAAGAAGATAAGGAGATAGACGGAGCAGCAGTGAGGACAGTAAGAAAGAAGAATGGATGAAAATTGAAGATTAACAAATTGGAATTTAGCCGCGAGATATAGAGGAAAGCTTCTATTATGAAAATACCAAGGTTTATTTTGCGTAAATGCTAGAAGTTTGTGGGCAGAATTTAAAAAAATAATAGATCATTTTGAAGGGAATTTAATAAGCTTGAAGATAATGTTATATAAAATTTAATTTAAATTCCATTTTTTTTTGAAAATTAAAAAAATTTAAAAAGTGAGCAAATCACAAAGTCAAAAAATTGTGCTCCTAATATGAGATGCCCCGAAAAATCAATAGTAAAACGCAAAGTACTCGTATATCAGTACTGTAACTAAAAAACTTTATTCAATATTTCTTAAATACAAATAAACTCAGCTAGGGTGCGCGAAAAATGAGTATGCGATCCATTATACTCAGAACTCGTCTTCAGGTAGTTCGAATCAAACATCGTAGAAATAGGCACTCGATGTTCATTCCGGTTGTTCTTTTTATTATTGTACAATAACATTTATACTTTAGCAACGATTTTCACTATGATATGAGAGCATGTGTTATTTCATATTAGAAATACCCTGGATATCTCATATTACAATTTCTATGCCTTACGGTTTTACAATCATTAAATCTAACTTCTAATTAAGCAATTCAACATATCCCGTATTTTTCTATTAATACGACCTTATCACTACGTGAAGAATTTATTGCCAAATATTTATTTATTAAATAATAAACAATGTTTAAAGACTCATCTCAATGAAACTTGAAGACATCCAAATTCTAAAATCTTTTTTTTTTTACAATGACTATAAGCATGAATAATGAATTTTCTACTAAATAGTTTTCAATTCAAGATCAATAAATTCATGATGGAACCAATAGATAGTGTCTATTAGTTTAGCAGAAACGCAGCTACCTCATATTAGGCGCCTATCTGACAATAGGGGACTTTCCTCTAGATGTAAATAAAAGTTGATAGAAATAGAGAGAAGAGAGTTAAGATTGTAAAGGAAGAAAAATCTGAGATAAAAAGAAGTAGAAAAAAGATAAGTAGAGATAAATTGAAAAAGATAAGAAAGAAATAACAAGTAATATTATACATTTGAGACTAGTACGTTAGAATTTAAATTTAAAAATAGATGGATAAATATGTGAAGGAAAAGAACTAAGTCTCCTTCTTAGCTTTGCAATGCTGAAGGATATAAAAATTTCATTTTATAATAATAATTTGCACAAATGAACTCTTTAAAATTTTAATATATTAGAGTAAAAAAATATTATAAATGATTAATCTAAATTTTTTAAATATACGTAATGTTAAATTTTTTGCAAACTATTATGAAGCTGTCACTGTCTTCGGCCAATATCTAGAATCTATTAAATGCTAATGCTGCCCTAAGTTAATCCGAAAACTGCAGAAGTCTTGGCACTCCTTACCTGGTCTACCATAAGTGGCGAGTCGTACAGCTTTTTCAACATGCAACGGAATAAGTGCAACTGACGGTGGCCTTGCTGCGTATTTACAGTATGGTCTACTTGCCTCGACCTGTGGCCATTCCTGAAATCCGCCAATTCCCTCGTGATCCTCCGGGCAGGATCCTCCTAGTACGAGCACAGGCCTGCCGAAATATATAGGTACTGAATCAGAATGATTTTGAATATTCGTTACAATTATATCTTACATGGAGAAAAAATGTAAAGTAATAGGTGATAGAATTCTAACAAATTTTATGGCAGACCATATAAGAACAGGCGCAAAATATTTTTTACCTTACATCTACGATATTTTTACTTTCAATCAAATAAAGTTTGATTGAATAATTTCATCATAATTTCTGCAAAAATAATCAGAATATTTTTACTAGTCTGCTAAAGTAAAAATTATTCAACCATTTTTTTCTGTGTGACGCGCTAGAAAATCTAAGTTATAAATTTTACAAAGCGAAGTCAAATCAACAATTTCATATAATTTTTATAGATAGCAAAAAATACATGCCCGATGTTTTCATAAGAAAAAATCCAGAATGACCAGAATGATGTAATGTAATTTCGATGCATCGCCATGATTTTTATGCAACGAGATTGTAATCACAACTATTATAAGTCAGACGGCAGTTGGGTGAACAATTTCCACGACGATTTCCACGCAATAAACAAAATTACATCGAGAATCGCCACACGTGTCAATCGTTCCGTAAGATACGAAAAATAATTAATTAATCCATTTCCGTTCCAAGAATCTAATATTCATTACGTATTCTCGTGTATTATAGATATACGAGTGCTTTGATATTTCATACTTCGTGATATTTTACTCTTACGATTATTACTAATAACGTACTCCATTTAATATAACATTAGTAAATTAAGATAATAGTATAGGAATCACAGGTCAATGCTTACCAACAATTTACTTGCGCATTTGCCATACCACCAATAACATGCAACAACCCTGGACCAGAAACACATAGTACCACCGCAGGTTTTCCTGGATGAAAATTCTATATTTTATATAAACTCATTTTTTTCATTAAGTAAGAGAAAGTCGAATTGGGAGGACGGCCACACGAAATTTAAATTCCGATTGAGATAATACTTTTCGCAATAAATTGTTCGTAGTTTTTAAGATTTTTATTAACATCAAATTATTGATATTCTCTGAAATGCTCATTAGCATCAATATTATTAAATTGCTTATCCATTTAACATGTGATATTGTTACTCATACTTCTATTCATGATTGCATTTCGAAACTGAAAAAGATTTCTTTTACTTAATTAGATTTATTCTGATTGGTCTAATTTCGTATTATAATTTTTTTGTTCATGATATTTTATTTTCTATATCATCTCACTTACTTTATGAAACAATGATTACGCTTATTTAATCAAGTGATAGAGTTTATACAACTGTTACTATTTTTGTAAAGCGTTTTGCAAAAGAGATGTTTTTAGAAGATATCCTTGTCTTTCATCAATGTTAATATATGCATATTTACAAATGAATATATTAACATTGAAAATATATATAATTTATGAAAAATTTTTACTTACTCATTAAATATCCGTAAGCTTGCGCGGCATAGCAGGCGGCCTGCTCATTTCTAAAACCTATATATTGCATACCGATGGATTGCATAGTTATAGCCAAATCAATCACAGGGTGTCCCATAATGCCGAAAACATAAGTCAAGCCCTGTTTACAATGTATAATATATATTATAGTTACAGTAAGATATAAGAAAATATCTCGGAATAAGTTAGGTATAATTGAATGATAAATGTAATTAAAACATTACAACATAAATTTCTTTCTTTCTATGTGACCTCTCTGATGAAAAAAATTCTCATTAAAATTTGAAGAAGTTTAAGATTTATTTTCTTAAAAATCTTCATAAGTTTAAAATGTGAAAAATTCTTAAGTAAAAATATGCCATTTTTAAAATTTATCACGTTTTTAAAATGAAGATTTCTAAGAAAATACCTTAAATTTCTTTAAATTTTTTAATTTCATAAATAATGAAAAACCAATATTTCAAAATGCACATATGAATAATTCTAGAAAAAATATAGACTTTCTCAGCATTACTGAAAAATGTATTCCAATAAGACAGTTGAGAAATTTTTTAAAAAGTTATAAAATTATAAAGTTATATAAAAATTGAAAAAAATTCTGAAATATATATTGAAATTTTAAAAAATTATGTAAGGAATTCTAAGAAAAACTTTCACTAAAGTTGCTCTTAAAAAATATTGATAGAATCAATCATCAATCAGAAATTTCTGGACGATTGAAAGCAAATAGCGCAGAAGTTGGTGTGTTTGATCTTCACAATAGTATATTTCAATTCTTACGTAACATATTCGATCGATATGTTATGTAAAAATTAAAATATACTGTGAAACTCAAACGCACTAACTTCTGCGCTATTATTACTCTCAATCATCCGAAAATTTTTGATTGATGATTATTTTATTATCTAGAGAACTCAACTTAGTTTATTAATTTATTGACAGATAAAAGTGTAATTGAAAGCAAATTTAAGTTAGGAAATTTTCATTCACTTTCATTTAATTGTGGTGTATGTTTTCTCTATTATAATCTCTTCTCTCCTTTCTCTTCTATCTATAACATAGATATGTATCTATGACGTATCTATAACGCGCCATGTCTTAGCGCCAAGACAATTCCGCGTCTCCTTCAGATATACATATTTATTTTCTCTAAAAGCATATTAAACAAGAGATCGGTCTAAAGATGCACTCTCTGAAAGGATTTCTAATATCGAGAAAAAAAGTATTCTTGACATATTTAATTTTAGTTCAATTATATACAGTATAAAATTATAACTGTATTAAGATTAAATCAATAATTTTTATTCTACCTCTTGAATAAAATAAGATCGACATCTTATCTTGAAACGAATATAACATATATAAATTTAGGTTTATATATTCTTATTCTTTAGAATAAGTCTATTCAATGTTATACGTGATGATGTATATACGTGATCATAGCAACAAAACTCTCGTAGTCTAACGCGCTAGATGAGAGACACGCGAAACGAGAGATTCTGAGTTCGAGTCCCGGCTGAGCCCAGTTTTTCGTTGCCGAAAAATGTAACATAAATTTTTCTTTAAGAAAATCAATGGAATAGGATCAAGAATACTTAACTTTAGATTTTTTTATTTAAGAAAAAAATATTCTTTTCTGAAGAATAAATACAATTGGCTTTATATCGATCTTATTTTATTCCAGATCGAGGAGTAATAGTTGAATACAGAAATCTTTTCTGGGGATGTGCTTATTTCATTTGTATGTTTTTGTCATACAAATGTGTGCAGGACAGAAAGGGCTTCAAATCTCTCTATCTTATAGCCAATCAACAGGCTTAAAAAATTTGTCACAAAAAGGTAAATAGTGGTCTATGTGATGTGGCACGCAGTGTATACAAAATAAACAGTATCTATTTATTATCGGAGTGTTGATAATGTACGGCCCCGATGAACTCGCACGAAATGAAAATAAGACTCTTCATTTCATGTGAAAAAGCATCAGTAGCTCAGCAGCTTCGACGATCTGTATGCATTAAATAACAAAAAGCGATTTTCAGCATGTATCAAGAACACAACGAGAACACACCGTTAATTGCACCGCCAAAAAAGCGTAAGTGTTGATTATACGATTGTGATAAGAGTCGATTTTTATTCGTGCCGAAATGAATTTGATTTGCGATGCATGCTCAGGTAAGTCGCTTATATTATGCCACATACAAATGCAAGTTGTTATAAGTGTGTTCTATAAAATTAGTCTTTTCCTCGATTTACTCGGACATCCGTTGTCAACAATTATTACATCAAATCGTATCATCATTTCAACTTTTCGAGCGTATCAAATCTTCTACTTGTGTACAAGAAACAAATTATTATTCACTTGGTGAGATTACGTATCTATAATACTGCAACTTGAAAATGTTATCATTCCTACCTTGTGTATTATATACGTACTCGATTAATTTTTGCTACAATTATTAATATACTCATCGAGGATATATGCAACTGTCTTCTATTTATCAGAAACAATGAGATTAAAAAGTTACTTTTTGGTGAAAATTTTTTTTAGAATTCTTATATTTTTTCCAAAATTCATACTTATGTAAATTTTACAATTTTTCAGAATCTCTGTATTTTATAATTTTTTAGGAAATCCTCAAATTTTTTATAAAAATTGAAACACTTTTCGGAAGTATTGAGAAGTTTATATCTTTTTTTTATAATTCTTCATACTTATCGTTTATTTTTTACGGCAATGACAGGATTCAAAAATAAAAAATTGTGATTTTTGTAGTTATAGCTAATTGCAAATAAGAATGGAAACATAAAAAAGAAGAAAGAAAAACATAATTTCAAAAGCACATACTTTTATTATATCAGCTATTATTATTTATTATTATATATCAAAATTGTATTTCAAAATTAAAATTACAAAATATTAATAATTTATTAATAAAACATTCGACCTCATTTTCTGAAAAACTTAGTTTTTTTTTTACTTGTGTCGTTGTAGGAAATGAGTAATATGTGCATATTACTCTGAAATATTTTAAGATTTTTTCATTCTATTATTTCTCATTCAATTTCTGAATTTATAAAATCTAAAAAAATTTTTTTTAAAGTATTTTTTCAGAAGTCTTTATAAATTTAAAATACAACAATTAATATAACAAATTCTTAAAATATTACGAGATATGAGAATTTATGATGTATTAAATTTTATTGATACATTAAAAGATGAAAATTACATACAATTTTAAGGACTGATCTTACCAATCGATTAGTCGGCCAAATTTTACTAATTTTGCCAACTTCAAAATTGAATCTGGCAGCTGTGAAGAATGATGTAATATATATTGTTATTGCCACATATCTACATGATATCAAAATATGTAAAATTAATTATTTTAATTAGAAGTATTATTTAATTATTAATTCGAAATTTATTATTTTATATAAAATTTTTATATACAAGGTGGGCCATCTATTGGTACGTTTTTAAAAATGCGATCAAATGAGCATACATTGATATTTTTTATTAATTTTTTTTTTGTTGTGAAGCTAAAAGTATCCGCGTCAAGAATGAAAAACGATTTCGTTCATGTGGCTCCCTCTACTGGCCTTACAGTATGCCATTCGGTCACCCCAATTATTAATGACATTTTGGACTACCTCGGCGCCAATTTCACTCAAAACAGTCGTAATATAATGTCATCCACTAACATCCCTTTCTCACGAACTTTCCTCACCAATTTGCGTATAGCTCCTTCGGTGGGTGCTCTATCACGACCCATATTTCTTTTCAAAATTCGTACAGTTTCGGCGACACAGCACTGACTTTGAAAATAAGTTTTTAAAATTTCAAAACGCTCTTCAAGAGAAAACATGTTGTTTCGTGCCGCGGACGGTATGACTAATAAACTGTCAAAATTTCGGGTCTGTAGCTCGTTCGGTGTTGCCATACGACGAAATTCAAAAACGTACCAATAGATGGCCCACCCTGTAAATAAATCATAATTTGCAGAAAATTAGGATATTTTCAGTTTTGCAATTTTGAAATTTAATAGGCCGATTAAGCTAATCAAAGTTGGTAAGATAATCAGCGTTATTATGACCGCATCAAAAATTAAATAAACATTCCAAGTCAATGACTTGTTAGATAAAACTAATATGATAATCTTAGCTCGGATTCTCTCACAGACACCGGCGCCTCGACACCGAGCATGATTAGTGAAAAATGGATGATGCAGATAAATTTTATCCTCTAAATCAATTTTTCATCAAACGCTCGATATCTGTATGAGAATTTATGCTTTGGGTACGGTCAATATTGGTCAACGTAATGTTATAATAAATATTTCAAAGCATTCTTTAATTGGTCAATTTGTAAAATTCTTTCTTCTGATTGGTCAGTCCAATGCCTCAAAGCATTTATAGGATGCTTTTTATTAACTCGGATCTATAATAGGTTTTAAGCCTTAAGCCATAAGAAATGGATGAATCACAGTCAGTTATTTCCCTCGCATTCGACTGTAAGTTCGGATCTACAATGGGTATTTTAGGCTTTAAGCCATAAGAAATTGACCAATTACAGTCGAATACGAGGAAAATAATTGATTGTGATTCGTCCATTCCTTATGGCTTATGACTTAAAAATCTAGTAGATTCAGACTTAAGGATATTTCCTCATAACAGTTAGAATTTCGGAAAATAGAATCTCGGAAAAAGTAATACGATCAATCAAAATCGTTTAAGTTTAGCGCGTTCGGGTAATACGCTAATCTGATTTGTCGTATTACTTTTCTGAGATTCTGTTTTCCGAAATTCTAGATACTTTCTAGCAAGGACACAGTTAGACACTGTATAACAGTGAATTGTTTCATCCTTAACATAGGCAAAGATTACACTGTAATGATTACACTGTTCTGACTGTGTCCTTACTGGAAAGCACTCTGTGATTATCATGCGACATCATTTATGTCTGTTTTTACCGATGTAGATTAACTTTAACCTCGGTTCAACTTATTCTAATCTTTAGAACTAGAACAAAAATAAAGAATATTAAAGTCAATCTATATTGATGGAAGTGAGCATTAAATGGAAGGCACACATAATAAGACTTTGATCGCACCTTTAAAGAGCGAAATCGTAAGTCTGTTCACATTGCTTGTACTTTTTGCACTCAGAATCTTTCTTTTTCTTTAATGACCGAATATACATTTATCTCGTTTTAAATGCAAAATTTTTAAGTAGTAACGCAAACAAATCATGTTAAACAAAAAGAATGCAAAATTTGATCACGTGATGACATACCAATGATCATAACCTAAAATCGATGTGCATTTGTTTTGCATAAAGTACTATTTGTTCGAAATCTTAGAACTGACGATTTCGCGAGAGATCTTATGCAGGAATTTCCTTAAAAATGTGCAAAAATCCCGGAGAATCGAGAATACATTTGGATTACTAAATAGCGCCGAGAGTCATCGTCAGCAAAAATACTGGCCCGTACCTGCTCCTTCAGGGCCTCTGCTACAATTAAATTTCCGTTCTTCATTCTGAACTGATTCACGTTCGTTCGATCCTTAACAATGTATACACGGAATTAATATACTGTTATCGTTCGTCGGATACGTAAATGTCAACTCACTCCACGTTCGTTTGCAAATCGCGACTATATAATATCACCGTGATTGTTGTACCCGTAGTTTCTCCGATAATGACTGTCAAGTTTCAAGACGCTGATACGCAGTTATTATTTGTGACCGTATCCGATGTTATCACATGTTGAAAAACAAATTTACGAATTGAAAGATTTTTAATTATTTCAAAAGAGGAGAGAGAGGAGAGAGAGACTTTAAAAGATAGCTGATTTTTAAGTCACGCTAAATAAAACGTATAAAACATTAATTATTATGATTTTAAATTATTTTTCATGTAAGAAATACGAATAATAATTTAAAGTATAAAAATATTCAATGTATAAAACATTAATTATTATGATTTCAAATTTGTTGTTTATTATTTATTATTCGTGTATTTATGTACTGCTCGTGCTTGATATATATAATTAAAAAACAAAGTTTTTCTAAAAAAATTAGTTTGAATATTTTGAATTAAAATTTTGTAATATTAATTTTGAAATGCAATTTTGATGTAATAACTAATCGTATAGGAATAAAGTGGGTATTTTAAATGTATATTTTTGCCTTTATGTTTCCGTTCTTTTATTGCAAGCAACTTGGAAATGATAATTTTTTAGATATATCGTTGTAGCAAATAAGTGATATCTAATTTTTGATATGATCTTTTGTTGACTTATGTAATTTTTTGAGTAACTTAATTCCTTATGTTTTATATAAACTTGAATTTTATATGGTTAACGTTTATATACTTTTATAAATTATTTATATAAAATTCCATTTTAAACAATATCCTATTCTATTTCTTTTCAATTTAAAAAAAATATATTTTAAATACAAAAATTTTAGAGAAAAATATTTCAGATAAAATTATATTTTGATTTGAAGGACGAATAATTATAAAATTAATTTTTAAAACAAATTAATTTTGATTATATGTGAAGATCATGGTCTTTTTTAAATGGAATTATATAATTTTTTTACATAATATGATTGTTTTTATTATTCTGCATATAAAAATATTAAAATAAAGATATAAAGAAAACAATAATTTACGACATATTTTATATTTTTAGCATATTTTGAACTTTTATATGAAATATAAAATATCTCGCGCGTATGTGTATTTTTTTACACCAATCAATTCATTTCATTATTCTATGAAAGTATTAAGGTACAGACATCAAAAAGTAAATATTTCACAAGATATTTTATATGTGTTTCATGTCAAAATGTGCCATAATAAAATATAAAATATCTTGTAAACTATATTTAATATTTCCATCTTAATATTCTATGCTGAATAATTAGAGAAATATATAATATTTTATGATATAAAATATATCATAATTTATATTTTAAAAAATGATCATGTCATATGACTAAAAAACTGACTTATTTATCTCTCTTTAAACCATTACAACTTTTGTCTGAAATATTTTTTTTAATTAAAAAGAAATTTAATTTTGGG